TTGTACCTAGGAAGCAAACATTACTGAGTTTTATACTTCAGGTGTATATGGCTGAATTTGGTTTGACTGTGGTTTGGAGAGTTTTGTATCATGATAAAAGGGACCACATATTTATTTCACCTGTACATCATAATTGTTTTCAATATTTTTGGGGGGTTCTGCATTGTTGCTATGTTATATAAATGTTTGTAAAATTGAAGTACTGATAGATTTGGATTGTGCTCTGGTCTGTTGGGTTGCACTTTGCAGATTCTCTTAGCTCTGCTCTCTGGTGATTAAATGTTTCTCTTCTTATTGATGAGATAGTTAATACTATGAAAACCTGTTGTTTTTTAAAAGAGTATTTTAAAATCAGTGAGAGTGCAGTTCATGTCCCATTGAGTGAGAGGCCAGTAAAGCCTTTATACAGGGCTGAAATAATGCTTATGGTTGCTATAAAAACAGAAATGTAAAGAATACACAATGTCTGTTGAGTACAAAGTTGAAATGTCTTATAACTTGGTTTGCTATTTGTCCAGCTTGGAAATTTACCAGGAGCAGCAGCACATTAAATATGTATTGAATAATATCTTTGAACAGCAGGTGAAATTTGCTTTAACCTCTTTATGACAGGCATAAAAGGATGAACATCCTAATAAGATTTCTACACATTGTTTTAAACAGAAAAGGCACCAAAGTGTTATTTCTGCCATTGAAGATGAGTATAATATGACCTACATATCTCCCAAAAATAGAAATTCAGAATTTTTAAAGTTTTATGTTGATCTGCATAATATGGGTTAGGTATCTTCCAAATTTAGATTCTTCACAGTGACAGTTCTTCTTGGCTCCCCTATATTGATGAAATTATGAAAGCAATTTCAAATAGGAATATTGGAAAATCATCTGGGCCAGATGGGTTTCCAACTGAGTTGTATGAAATATTTTGTTTCATCATTGCTTCATCACGTTTATAATTATATTTTTGAATCAGGGTTTCTTTTAGTATTGTGAAATAATGCTGATATTACTGTGATTCCTAAGCCTGGTAAGGATCAGATGCATTGCACTAACTGTTGACCTGTTTCATTAATTAAGGTAGCTATTAAAGTGTTAACAACAGTTTTGGCTAAGAGATCAGAACACTTATTTGATACAGTCAGGTCTGATGTATTAATAATCAGCTGGAAACCAACAATATTATATTTGTTATCAACCCGATTGCTTTAGATACTAATACAATAGATTCTGCTGCCATGATTTTGTTTGATGTTAAGAAGGCCTTTGACAAAAAATGGAAATTTATCTTTTCTGTGTTGTGAAATGTTGGCTTTCCCAAACCATTTTTTAAAATGGTTTTTTGTTTTTTGTTTTTTTTTTGTATTGGAAGCCGCCCTGAGGCTTTTGTGAATGGGGCAGCATATAAGTGTTCCAAATGAATGAATGAATGAATGAATGTTTATATTCAATTCCAGAAGCCACAGATAAGGCTGGGTTTTTTTCACAGTTCATTTTATCTTTGGGAGTACTTAACAGGGATGTACACTTCCACATTGACGGTTGATTTATGTTTGGAACCCCCAGCATGTGCTATTGGACATAAAAGTAATATTCATGAATTTGTATATGAGTTTTCAGAATTCACAATTATTCTTTATGCAGATTTATCTCAAAACTTCAATCATTGGTTCCAACTTTGATGCAGGTGATTAGTACTTGGGGTGATTTGTCTGGCTGTTTAATTAATACATCAAAGTCTGAACTGATGTCAATTGGCAACACTGTGGCTGGGTTCACACATCATGGCAAACCGCCTTGTGTGGTTTCTGCAACGCATAGATGTTTGCACAGACTTACCAGTCAGACAAGCATGTGGTTTCCATGACAACAGTTTCCACACCCACATGAACCAGTTCTCCTTCCTTACTCCGTTGCTTTCTGTGGATCTCAGCAGTCTTGTCCTGATTGTCCTCCACTGAAGCACCTTTGAGGCAAGTTCTCTGTCTTCCCCCTCCTGAGTATACTTGCATCTCTGCAACACTTCTTAGCACTCCAGTCCACAAAGGATTTTTTTTAATAAAATCATAATAAACACTTTTGCTGTAATTCCCCCTTTCTCACTTCATGCATTTATCCACTTTCTCCCTATTTCTGAGAGTAAACAGAGTGAGGTGCCCATCGCTCTGCCAGTAGGAATAAAGAAGGTGATGATGTGTATGTTGCTAAGGAGCTGAAGGCAAATGAGTGGCCAGATGGCTACCTCCATGGCTGTTCTTTCCATAGAATTATATGGTGTTTCCATACTAATAATTGTGAAATGGCGATACCTGGAGGAGCCTTGGTACAGTGTGGAAAACTTAGAGCAGACTGTTGATTCTCTCCATGGTTTTAAGAAACTAAAGGCACTATGCAGAACTGTCACAAGTGGGTCCAGATGGCACAAAAGACCAACAAGGGTCGATCACCATGGCTTTGTGTGACATGTAAACCTGGCCTATATCTCATAATGTATTAGCTCATTAGCAATTTAAGTGGTGCCCAGATTTTAACCCCTATTTGGGAATGTTTATCTCTGGAGACATATCCCAAATGATCACTGAGATTTCACAGGATATACACAGATGAGCATTTCTTGAGTTTATTGTGTTGAGTTTAATATAGTTAAGAGGGAACTATTTTATGAGGGAATCTTCTTTTTATACCTGGCTAATATTTTGAAAAACTTAATGGTTTGTTATAGTGATTTCTCAGGGATTCCTTCCACCTCAGGGTGAGTTCAGCTTTCCAGATCTTGCCTTATATCATAGGCCTTATTTCTTGATTGGTTCTGAACTTTGGTATTTTCCAGTTGAACTGTTCACCAAGTGAATGTCATTGTGTACTTGGCACATTAAAACAAATAGGATCCCTTCTATGATCACAATAGAGAGGTGTGGCATATTATAGCTTGTCGATTATAGTTTGACCCTTTTTTCATACAACCTTATGGAGAAATCCAGACTTTAAAATTATTAAGAAAATGTGGCAGCCTTGGACAGACAGGTTGATTGCTGCTTTGAACTGGCTGATGTGGTTTTTTTCTGTGAGTTTTTCTTGTCTTCATTTCTATATGCCAAATGATGACTTTCCTGCTTCTGCTGAATGGCTCTACTTGCAATTACTACATGTACTAGAATCTAGGTTTAGTCCTGCTGCTTTTACAGCATCAGAGTCACCTCTGCTAGTAGAGTGTTGACTGAGTCTGAACAGTTACATAGACCCACAATTCATATTTCTAAATGCTTACTATCTCTGAATAGTTTGATAGCCAGAGTCTTAAAGACAAATAGAAAATGGGATCAGATGTTCCTGTTTTGCCTTCATTATTTTTGCATTTGTATCAGAAGGGGCTGTGGATCTGAAGTTAATCTTAGTCAGCAAAAACTTCTGTTTAATGCTTAATGGATGCCATGGTGCCTTTTTAATAAGGTTTTATCAAAGTCAGCCAGTGGTTGGAGGCTCAATACTGCTGATGCTTCATTTGTCTACTTGTTCTGGTGATGTCCAGTGGTTGCTTATTATTATGTGGATAAGCTTAGTAATAAAATGCTCTTTAAGGACCACAAGGACAACATAGGTAGATTTCCCATGCCTCTTTGACAGCTGAAAGACTGATATTACAACACTGGAAACACCCAGCTCCTATAATAGATTGAGGATGCTGTCAATATTTGAATGGGGGTGTATTTAGATGCCACTTGTGGGTGGATAAATATATGGATATTTGGTTCACCTTTTCTGAAGTTAATGCATAAGTATTTCTGTTAATTCCTATATTGCTACATACTTACTAATATCCATATCATGCAGACCCATTTATCTTAATTTCTTTAAGTAAATTATATATTTTTTCTTTTATATGTTTTTCTTTGTTTTGATGAAATTTACATTTAACAAAATTCTGTATGAACTCTTGCAAGCAATTGATTGATATTCTTTGCTTCATTCCTACATAACTCCACACCTCAGGCTAGCTGGAATATTTGGTACACCAGCAAAGCTGTTGTTCTCAATAGCATAGTTAGATTGTCACAGGAAGGCCACCAAGCAATGATCTTCACCATTTTTCAAGCAGAAATTAGTTTGGCTTCAGGCATTGCAGGCAAAGTTGTAAAGTGGGCTGCACGGATACTCCTTGCCTTTTGGGCTTCTCCAGTGCCCCTCTTGTCCCTGCAGTATCTGCTGTTCCACCTTACAGTTCCTGAGCCACAGATCTCCTAACTTTCCAGTCCTGAAACCCCCTCTGATAGCCAAGATCACAGGAGCTGATCCATTGCTAAAGCTCTGCTATATTGTGTAAGCGCCAAAGATTTGAGGCCTTTGAATTGTGGTGCTGGAGGAGACTCCTGCGAGTCCCTTGGACTGCAAGGCGATCAAACCGGTCAGTCCTAGAGGAGATCAGCCCTGACTGCTTTTGAGAAGGCCAGATCCTAAAGATGAAACTCAAATACTTTGGCCACCTAATGAGAAGGAAGGACTCCCTGGAGAAGGGCCTAATGCTGGGAACAATTGACGGCAAAAGAAGAAGGGGACAGCAGAGAATGAGGTGGCTGGATAGAGTCACTGAAGCAGTTGGTGTGAGCTTAGGTGGACTCCGGGGGATGGTGGAGGACAGGAATGCCTGGAGAAATGTTGTCCATAGGGTTGCGATGGGTCGGAGACGACTTTGCAACTTACAACAAAAACATTGTGTGAACCTTTTGGAGAGTATTATGCTAATCAAATCGGATAGAAATGCTTTAAATAAATAAAGTGAACAACCAGGCAGTCCTAGTGCTCCCCATTGAAAGTAAGCAATTTTTGTAAAATGTTTATGAGAGAGAGAGAGCGCATGTGAGCACAGACGAGGAAAAGCCACACTTAAGGTAATCAGAACCCACAGTGGTGCTCAGGTCCTGGAAGGACAAACATTGTCATAGAGAGCTTTTTAGGGTCGTAACAGTCTTGGGATATGCTAAATTGTCCTCTTTTTCTGTTTATAGATGGCTCAGAGCGCTTTCTCTGTGAATCAGTTTTCAGCTACCAGGTTGCATCTACACTAAAGCAAGTGAAACATGGTGAGTATTCCAGCACAGTATAAAATGTCAGGGGCTATATTCACATTAGGGATTACATAAATCCTGGTGAATGACTTGTGCATCAGGCTGCAGCTGGAGATCTAGGGGTCCTCAGGAACTTCCTTGTAATTGATGAAAGAATTGTCTGCTGCAACAGGCTGTTTATGGCCATTCGTGCATTTTGTTTAAAAGACCTGAGTGAAAATTGATTGCAACCCGCAGTTATTTTATTTTATGTTTTTTACAGATCAGCAAGTTGCTCGAATGGAAAAACTTGCTGGATTAGTTGAAGAACTGGAAGCAGATGAGTGGAGATACAAGCCCATAGAACAGCTTCTCGGGTTCACTCCTTCCTTGGGTTGAAAGCTTGTAGTTTGTTGATGTGGAAAGATCAAACACTTGCACAACTCCATTTTAAACCATTTAATGGTTTTATGCTGTACTCTTCCAGTAGAATAAAGAAAATCCATAGCAGGCCATTCTTTTACACAATCCACTGAATTATGGTCACATATAAAATCTGTTCAGTTTCTCACCAGCCTGGACAACTTGTCTCACAAGGGTGTGATGTCTGCAAATAAGGAGATGCAATCCGTTTGCAGAGAATAACCTGTTTGCTTCAAGGTGAAGGAATGGTTGCTTAAACTTAACAAGCCTTTATGCTGACCTTGGAGGATGTGTGCTGAAAGCTGGCCCCATAATTGGACCCTTGTTACTGTTCAAGTTAAACTCCTGGAGGGTAGAGTAAAAAGGCATAAGACGTTGGCCTTAAGCTCTTCCTTTGAAGATGGATGTGATAAAACAATAGGACAGATCACTTGAAGGGCAGAAGAATGTTAACTGTTTCCTGTCTCTCATATATCCTGTGTTTTGCGTAGTCTGCGTTTTCTCAGCTGTTTCTTTGTTAACTGTATGTGGAAATACTGACAGAGGATGAGTGCTGTTAAAAGCAGGGCAAGTCTCTGAAAAGAGATATTGGCTGTTCTTTCCTTTGGTTCCAGTGCATTTGAGCTGTCTGCTTGGCAAATAAATTATTTCAACTACTGCTTTGGTGTCTGTTCTAGTATTCTTTTCAAGGGCTTGGAAGTAGAAAGAATGAAAATAGGCTGATTACCAACATGAGCATCTATTAAACTGCTCTCCGTATTTAAATGTTATTTTAAAAAAAAGGCTAGCAGTGTAAGGGTAATTTAAAAGAAATTACTACAGAGAAAGTGACACAGTTTAGAAAAGTAACATCCAAGTTGACAGCATACTCTTAACTATGTGCTTGCTTGTGGAAGTCACCTTACCACTAAGCTTTGTGTATTCTGGTTTCCTTAAATTGGGGGGGGGGGGGGGGTTAACTACTTGGAGAGGTTGTCATTGATTGCAATCCTAGAAAAACAGAAAAAGGACACCCAGCTTCCAGTAGAAATGTTTTCTGCCTGAATGTGCACAAAATTACATCCCTACTGTACAGTATAGGAAGGTAAGCTGTTGACCCGAACTGCCTGCTTAACTGTCCAAATTATCTAAAAAATGCTCTGTTTATAAGTGGTTGGGTCCTGATGATGCCCAGAACAGTTAGGTAACAAATGGCCTGTGCCTGCTGGAGTGGCTTTAATCCAGTCTGTATACAGGGCAACATGCAGCTTTGGAAATACTTCTGTGTGACATAATGGCCTATTAATTTAATTTTTCTTCTCTTTTTCACTCTTCAAAAATAAAAAAACATGCCTAGTTCTTCTGACTATTTGGAAAATGCATTATGTTTATCATTTCTAAGCCTAAACATACCTCCCAGTAGGAAAGGAATTATTTAGTTCTGCCTGCATATTCTAAGTCTTTAATGAAGCTAGGCCTGCATAACTTTGCTGTAGTAAAATCCAAGCCTTAAGCAAGTTTATGTATAAATCTTGTTGATTTCAGTTTAAGGAGAACATTCTTTTTTTTCCCCCTTTGGCAGGCGGAACCAACATATATGACTCCAACCTCCTTTCAGCTGCCACTAAAGGCTGACTGGATTGGGCTTACAGTTCATTAATCTCATTTTGTTATAGCTGACTTGGATTTGTCGGATTTTGAGCACCATGATTTCACAATAGGAATTCTATGAGATTAATGTAGCATGCTGGCATACAGCTGGTACACATCTGCTATATTCATAAACATGGTAAGCAATAAAGCTAATTACAAGGTGCTCAAATAACAAGTTGTGACCATGTTCTCATTACTAATTAATATGTACATTTCTCACTGCAATTCAGACTTTCCAAAAATGTGTCCCATGTAAGCTGTGAAATTAGTGATCAATCTACATTCCACTTAATTTTTAATACAGAACACACTGAACCAAACTTTTATCAAGTAGGAAAAAGGGTGTGTGCAACCCAAAGGTTAAAACTAATTGTATACAAAATATTCTAGCTAATATGGATTCCTTCTGGCCAAACAAAAACATTTTACTGAAAGTCAGTTGGTGAATAATTTTTGCCATGAGACTTCATAAAGAGTTCAAAGAGTATTTCTTCAGCACCCTTTCCTACCATTTTTTTGTGTTTCTGAAGAATGTGGTTAGGTTACGACTCAGAAATTTCCCCTTTATTTTTGAAAATCTCGCTTCCCTTTTACTTTTAAATTGGGGGGAAATAAAGGATGCTTAGTGTATTACACTCTTTTCCCATTGAAGTCCTAGTTTTTAAGAGGCTCCAATAAGGCAAGTGGGGAAAATCAGAGCTGGGGAGAAGGTGAAAGTCTAAACGTAACATAGGCCATGGTTTACCTTCTGATAGAATGGTTCCAGCCTTTCAATCGTCAACGTGCCATCCCAAGCTATTTTGCAGCACACCTACAGAAGGGCCTGGCAGATTTCGGGTTTTGAAGTATCTCTGTTGAATTTTACTTGAACCCCAAGAACCATCAAAACCCAGGTGTAAAAGACATAAGTAAAGACTTCTGAGCCAAGGAACTTGTTTTGAGTACTGAACTGGAACTGATCTGACCTCAGGCTTTCTGCACAAAAACAGAAAGTTTGCCTTATTTACTTGATGCTCAATTTATACCCATCTTTCCATCAAAATAATAGCACTCAAGGTAGTTAACAAAATTTCAAATAGACTTGGTTAAAACAATAATAAAAACAAAACAATTTTTAAGAACATGAAAGCTGCACCAAATAGAACCCACATCAGCAACAAATCAGCTTCTATCGGGTGGGCAGCATTCAGCATGCTGACCACTGGCAGTGCTGGAAAGGGACTTCTAGAAGTTGAGGTCTAAAACAACTGGAGATCTGCCCTTCCTTGTCTTACGTGGGAAAGACCTGCTTGAATAAAACATTGCCAGTGGGCAGACAGAGAGGAAGCCAATCTAGCCTTAAGACACTGTGGGGCTTGTAGATTAGAAAAGGCCATGAATTGCAACTTGCCAGTAGGTCCATTTTGGTCTCAAGAACATGGAAGCTGTCTTTCCATGAAGAGTTTCCCATGTTCTTAAAAACAGAACTGCAGCATCTTTAATCTTTTGGCCATTTTTCTTTTCAAAGAGGTGATAATCTTAGAAATCTCTTCATTGTGAGAAAGGGAGGGACTGGTAGAAAAAACACGCAGTGAACTTTTGATCAACAGTTTTCATTTAATATTTTGACCCTTGGCCCATCCAAAATTTGTGGATGGATCTCATCATCTTGAGTACATCATGCTTTCTTAAGTAGCGGAAGACTGAGATGCAAGACATGTATTAAAAATAGTTTACACAGAGAGAATACAACAAAAGGCCTTGTCCTGTGATATTCTTGGTGTTTCTAGGAGATGCCAAAAGGAACATTTTGTACTGAGTAAAGGTTTTTCTGATGCTCTTCCCTCCCAAGTGCTACAATCTGTACATGAACTCTAATTATGTATAAACAAATCTCCAGCCAATAATTCCAGATTCAAACAGCAGAAGGGAAGCTTCTTGAATAACTGGGAGTAAATAGCACAGCAAATATTACTGGTCTCCGCCAAAACGGAGCCATGCCAGTACTTCTGACCTGGCTGGCTTTGCAGTTGTGTGTGCTTGTAAAAGCTGAACCTAGCACAATTTCTGACATGCTGCCTGTAGTGTGGCTTAAAAAGCACCCAGATATATCTTTTGTGCGGTTGCCTCCTACAGCTTGGCATGGAGCCATTGCTCTCTTGTCTGGGAAGAGAGGGCAATTGTAATCTTCTGTAAGTAGCGGAGATGCTTTTTTGTCTTATTTTCCTCAAAGGGCTCCCATGCATTTAAAAGCTGCATGAAAACCCAGCAATTCTAACTGACAAAGCTTGTCTTGCATGCAGCCACAGGAATGGGAATGCCTGGCACCTGCTCAGTTTCTTTCTCTGTGTAGTTGCCGAAGTCACAGCAGCCCTAACAGAGAAAAAAAATGGCAACCTGAAGGAGTTCCTGTGCAATGTGGCAGGATGAGCATGCCCTCGGCATGAGGAAATGGGTAGATTATGAGTGCGGCTGCAGTGGAACCTCTAATGTTTGTTAAATCTGAGCAGTCAAAGATGTTACTTTTTAATGGCCTTGCTCATACACTCTTAATCAAGAGTCCCAGTGTAAGGAAGGCTAAGAGATGAAATTTGAGTGACATGAATTGACAGGAAGATTCTTAGACTGCTCCTAAATGCCTGGGCCAACCTGACTAATGATCAACTTAAATTAGTAAACGACCTAAGGCCTGGATACCCACCCATGCCCCTTCAGCCCTATGGATGTGTTCAGTGTTTAGCTATGCGGGGTATTCTCCCTGGAGTTTAATGAACTGGGCAATTCTGTATTTTGAAAACACCTTTGTAGGAGATAGTGTGGAGCAAAACACTATCTGAGCATTTGCAGTGCTCAGCATCGCTTAGGGTGTAAAAAGCTTCATGTGCTGATCTCAGTATGAGGCGCTGCTGCACTGCTGGCTGGCTAGCTTGTTTCTCTTTTCAACCAGCCTGGCACATCATCAAAATATGCAGTGGCATGAGGATTTTGATAGGAGCTTGCTGAGAACTTCCACCCCCAATGGAAAGAGGAGAACAATGAGCCTACTGTTTAACAGCTGCCAGAGCTAGGGCGGCCACACCTGGCCCTCTAGATGTTTTGGTGCACTGCTCCCCACTGGCTGCGCCAGCTGCTGCTGATGGGAGTTGTGGATGGCTTTGGCCTATGAGTTGGCCACCGCAATGCTAGGCAGATGTAGAGGACTGTCTATGTGTGAGGCATCTGTGAACTTTTGCTTCTTCAGAGGCCATTCACAGGCTATTGCAGGGATGAGCAGGCTGTGGCCCTCCAGGTGTCTCAGCTTACAGTTCTCAACCCTTGACAATGTGGTCAATGGTGAAGGATTATTGGCATTTTCTCATTATTTATGCCAATCTCAGCCCGAAGCCATTTTGGACTGCAGCTACCAGCATTCCTAAGCACTAGACATACTGGTTTGGTCTGTAGGAACTGAAGTCCAAAATTTCTTCAGGGGACTGGGTTTAGGAAGGCTGGCCTATACCAAGTCAGACCATAGGCTGATCTGGTTTAGTTTTGACAAGACAAGAGCTTTCCAAAATCTGCTTCCTAAATAGGAATGCATCGCATTAAACCTGAAGCATTGTGTAAGCAAAGCATGCACCTGTTCTGAGCTAGAGATTTCTGTTGTGCTACCCAATCAGACATTTGCTGTCGCACTTCACAGTCAAATCCCAGAATGCACATCCAGTCTTCAGATAAGTCAGCTACAGTTGTTAATTTCCAGAAAGTGACATAGCCTGAACATTAAATATAACCTTTAATTAACTCTCTAGTCCAAGCAGGAAATTTCCACAGTGGGGAAGAACATTCCACCTTTATGCTAATATTTCTTTTTTACTGTTTAGATATCCACACAAAAAGGACCTGAACACAGAAATGATGTGTGTAGGAAAATAACTGGGTCCTGGCAGTTCATGAGTTTCTGCCACGGTGTTGCTTATAATCTAAACAAAAAATCCTATTCCAGCAAAAAAGACGTTTAATACTTATTATGAAGCAGCAAGGGCATATCTCAGTTTTGATGCATTT